TCTCTCTCTCTCTCTCTCTCTCTCTCTCTCTCTGTGTGTGTGTATGTGTTGTGTATACTTGCACATGAAGGAAACTGACAGAATACTTGTGTAACACAATAAACAAAATAAGAAAATTAAGTCAGCTGTTCCAAAAACATCTCTAAAAATATTTCTTTACTTTCCTATTGAAAGTTGTCATATAAGAGTGAATATGTGGCTCCAAAGGTAGCTTCATCCCGTGCTTTTTATTATTGTTATTTGTAAAATACTCCTGGAAAGTATTTTTAAATGGGCATATAAACTGTGGTGAATGATTACCTTAAAAATGTTTGTTCCAATTCTAACTAAGCAAGATCCATGTAAAGTGAAGTTTCTTCATGCTTGAATAATATGTAGTAACAAATCACAGCTATAAAATTATTTCCCAATAATTCTTTTTAATGTTTCACTTTGTTGAAATTTCTGAATTTAAGCATTATATTTTCTAAAGGAAGCTATTGTGCTTTCTTTTTTAACATAGACATAGAGCTGGATAATTCCAAAAGAAGGCATAGAAGATTTTTTCCCTTAAAAATTATAGAGCAGGGGGCTGGAGAGATGGCTTGGCAGTTAAGAGCACTGACTGCTCTTGCAGAGGACTCAGGTTTGATTCCCAGCACACACATGGCAGCTATGAACTGTCCTTAACTCCAGTTCCAGGGAATCCAATGCCCTCTTCTGACCTCTGTGACATTCCACGACATGGGTGCACTTACAAACATGCAGGCAATATATTCGTACACATAAAAAAATACAAATAAATATTTTTTAAAATATAGAGCAGAAAAATTATAGAGCAGACTGATATTTTGAAACTTCTCTGTCTCAGAAATATTTCCTGTATAGTTGCGAATTACATATGCATAAGGAAGAGTATAAAAAACCATTTTCAATATAATGGTCTCTTTCAATAGAAAAAAATAAATATATCCTTATATAACTATTGTTCTTTCAGTATTCTTGATTGTGAAAACATATAGTCAAAGGTATACTGTTGAATTCTGTGAGTTTTTTTCAGTGAATCAGTATTTTAATAATCAAAATAATTTAGTGTTCTAACAATGACTAATGTATATATAGATTTCCTGTCACTCATAATAATGTAACTGTTCACACATGAAGACCTTTATAACACAGCTACCATCCAGTGATCCTTAATTCACAAGATATGAACTACTGATTTTGAAGATATGCTTGGTTTTATTATCCATTAGAAAAATCTATATTAGTAACCATTAATTTGTTTATAATTTAATATAATTGTTATAAAGACATTCCAGATGTCATTCTCCAAATTGTACTAATTTTTAAAATATTAGCCCAAGTATTTAGCAAACCAGAATAAAGAACAAATTAACTTTTTTTGTGGTTCTTCACTTATTTACTATGTCTCGAATCATATTCACTAACTCTATTCCACCATTAAGTCTATTAGTAGGCTTAAGCTCATTTTCAGCTATATTGATGAGAATATCTCTGTACCTGCTAGCCTTGAAAGCATCATTTGTATCTTTCTTCCTCTCTTCTCTGAGCACACTAATACCCTAATTATCAGCTTCAGTTTGTATCAGATCAGGCTGACCTGGACTGACCGAAATAGTCACTACTTCCAACAAATTTCCTGCGGTGTATCCATCTGCATCTCTGACCCAGATCAAGGTTTCAAAAGGATGAAAATGATAGGTCATTGATCATTGCTCATGTGCATGATTATTGGGATCATTTTGCTATAAGGAAAAAATCCAAGCAGTCCTAATATTGAAGATTTATATGCCAAGAAAAGAAAGCAAGAAGCACTTAATACTTTTTTGTATTCCACCTTAGGCTAGAAGGAACTAACTTTCGAGGTTCTCATGAGGTTTTACCATGGATTTATATGTCAAGTGCTACTTCTAGACATTTTAGTATAATAAAACAACTTTTATTTATGTTTTGTAAATATGGTCATGCTGCTAACTTGCTGTGATATACTAGATGATAGTTCTAAAGAGATAACTCAGTGATAGAACAATTGCCTAGCATGCTTGAGACCCTGGATTTAATTTTCAGTGATCTAAGGGAAAATTGGGATATTCAATTATAGCAGATTCCTGATTGCCACATGAATCCACCTGTAGCACAATGGTTAGTATGTTTGCATGCTCATGTTGCATTAATAGCAACATGGTATCTAGAAAAAGGAGGCAAGAATAAAGGTGCCTCACTCTGCACCTTCTGGCTACACATGGCCTCTTTGTTCATGTCCATGTTTTCCCAGTGATATTCACAATCTAGAAAACCACCATGAATTCAGAAACAAGGAAGAAGTATACAGCTCTCTCAAATGAGAACTGAGCAAAAGTTGTGGGATTGAATTTAGTATATATTCTGTAATATATTTAAAGACACATGGAAGTAGCAAAAACCAAGTATTTAAAGGTAGCTAGATGTTAAATGTATTCTTAATGATTTTTCTGTAGAAATAGTCCCAGTGAATCATACTTCTCTTCAATATGGAGAAGAATCTCAAACAATGTGTTACTTTAAGAGTAAAGGAGATTTGCTATTACTAGGGATATTCAGCATCAAGCTACATGATGGCTTGATGAACTGTGATAGGAGTATAGCAAGGATCATCTAGGCATGTGGCCTACATAGCCTATACAGCCCCTTTCAAAAACAAAAATTCCTGCAATACTAGAGAACTGAGTATACAGCACAAATCATGATTTACCACTGTTCAGAATACTTTAAATTTCTCTCTGTGAATGCATGTATGTCTCCTTCGATGTCTGAACTGTTAAAAATTCCTTAAGGACTCTACATTCAAAATTGTACTAGATTCAGATGCACCAGAATATGGAGGACACCAGAGACTGGACCACAATACTGATTTCTTTTCTGAGGCTTTTGAACATAATGGACGTCCCTATTCTCTTTTGGTAAGTAAGGCTCTTTAGATATTTTTCATTCTAGTTAAACTTAAGTCTTTATTTTTTTAGTGATGTTTTTTGTTCAAAGGAACAACACTTCAAATAGCAACATGAAAGAAAAAAGCAGGAAGATGGGGAAAAGAGAAAAATGTGGTACGGGAGACTGGGTCTTGGAGCAACTAATGCTGAAATGTATTTGGATACACTTGGGAAATTTTGAATACTGGTAGAATTTGACATTATTTCTCTAGGAGTGAGAAGACAATTTTTTGAGTTTGCAAACATTTCTATTATTTATGAACAATTTACATTCTTTTCTTTTTTCTCAGTAGTATTTTGCATTAAGTAGATTTCTACATTGTCTGTTTAATGAAATTTAGTTTAAATCATCTTGAAGGAATGAATAATATATATCTTTTTTCTTTAATACAGTAAATTGACAACTGAGTTCTTTGTAGTTATAAAAATCTCTGATTTCACCATATTACTGAGGGAGCTTTCTGTCATATGACTATTTTTTACACTTCAATATTGAAACAGAAGATAGGAAAATGCCTTACACTTTTAGGTTTCATTCCTTTAAAGATTCAGAGTTTAGAAACCTTTTAGATTGAGAGTGATTCTTCACTTAATTTACAGCCCTAAAGTAGGCTTATGTTGCATATAAATCATACTTTCTTTCTGTTTTGCTCTTTTTTAATGACTGCTTTTTTCTCTCCCTTTTTCTATATGTCTCTCCGATCTGCCTTGTTATATTTCACCATGAGTGGTAGTAGATTCCTTTTTCCATTCATGACATGAGGAACCATCTAACAATATGTGGATATGCTATGTTATAGCTGATTTTTATAAATTATCTCACCTTTCAAAAGTTCATAAGCATGAGAATTTGTATAGTACTCCTGGATCCCATTTTTATACTGTGCCCTACCTCTTAAAGTGATACCAGTCCATCTTCTTGTAAAGTTCTGTGTTAATAGGCTAAACAGATTTGCCACAAAGATAAATGAAAACAGTGCAGAGATGATAATGATTGTGAAGTGAGGTAAGCACAGTGGTCATGCAGATTTAGGTATCACTGTGTGTGTGTGTGTCTGTGTGTGTGTGTGTGTATGTGTGTCTGTGTGTGTGTGGTGTTGTGCTATGGGTGTGTGTGTGTGTGTGTGTGTGTGTGTGTGTGTGTCTGTGTGTGTGTGGTGTTGTGCTATGGATTTAGATATGTACAGAGTGAGGGGACATGCATAGATAAGAGAGAAGACTTGCAGGTACAATCACATTCCACTTTCAAAGAATTATTTCTATAACTTGTCAGAGCATTCAATTTTGACATGTGCAATAAGATTGATAAAAATAGCTTCATAAGTGAGCAAGAAAATTACCTTAAAGATCTAGAATAACCAAAAAGGCAAAAAAATCTCCTGAGAGGTTTAGAAAGATGATTCAGCTCACAGAGAGGTACCTGAGAAGCAGCAGCCTGTTACAGTAAAACTGAACTTGAACCACTTGAATTTGACAGAGAAGATTTGAAAAATGTAGCAAATTTCATTTGCAGACAAATTTACCCATGGTTCCTGTATCTCAACAGAGTTCTGCTATGGAGAAGTGCCTGTTACTATAGTGAGACGATGACATAATGTCATGGAGGAGTCCTAGAATCCAGTGCCCTGTCTGCCCCTTTCTTGCTTTCAGAACATGCGTAAAATTAACTTGTTCATACCTGGTTCTCTCATTTGTAAATTGAAGACCTATAATACTGTCTTCTCTAATGCAACAAATTCCTAGTAAGCACAAATCATGACCAAGCATTTCATAACTGCACTGCAAAATGTTCTTGCCCATGTATTTTAGTCTTTATAGTCATGTGTTTAAACATTATTATATCGTGTTGTTTGAATATTTGAACATATCAAGAAACCGAATGTTTTGAGAATGCATAGTTAAGAATGCCTTCTCCCTAGATTGTAGAAATTATTTTCATAGATAAGAGCTCACAGTCTGGTTTAGACAGAAAATATTTTGGCATCCATTTGATTTTCCAGGAGAAAAAAATGTTCTGACATAATTAAGTCAATGACCCAGTGGTGGCAGCAGCCAGGAGGTTACTTTTCAAGCACTGATTGAATTGATCATAGAAAACATGAAACGTACAGTTCTAAATTAGCAGGTAGATGAAAAATATCTCTTCAGTCTGTCTTAATAACACAACTTTGAATTCAGCACCACAAGCACAAAAGAAATAGAAAAGAGCTTGACTACTACCAATAATCAAGTTCCCAATTCACCTCAGTCAGGAAGATAGGAGTGAGGCCTTCCCTCCCAGCCACAGTGTCTTAGTGACCGAGAGTTTTCTGTGACTACAGGTGCTGTCAGATTGCTCATTTAAGTAAGTCTTCAGGCTCCAGATAAAATGATCACTGGTTTTCATTTCTGAGAGAGCCCAAAAGAACCAGTAAAATACAGACAATCCAAGAAAAAAAAAATATTTGCAGTAGATCCTATACAACCACAGGGAAATCATTTCTGAGTCCTACACTCCTGGAATAATCAAAGGAAAAAAAATATATAACAACCCCTATTTCATGAAATTACTGTCCATTGTAACTAGTACACAGCATTTGCTAAAGCTTGATTTGCAAGCTCGATAATCCAACAGATCTGCTGAATAAGTGTTAAATCTGCTTTCAACGGCAGCAACAAACAGAGCTCAAAGGAATCTTAAAATAGCCCTACATGCTGCAGTGTCAGCAGGTACCACTCGGCACACCACTGCTAGATGTGTTTGGAAAGTCAAGGTTCCCCACAGCTGCTGAAGTAGTAGGGCCCAAGTCTTCTTTGCTGACAATTATGGGAAACTCCACTTAAGCATAATCCTTTCTCTATATTTTGGCTCCTGATATAGGAACTGATATGTTAACCTATGTGTTAATTGGCACATGTGGGGTGAGAAGAATTCCTTTCTCTTCTCTAGTTCATAAGTTCAAATTCCACAGTTCAAAAGACAGAACTGAGATTCCTGAGGTCCAGATGAATTAGATGTATTCACAGTCATGAAGAAATGGCAGTGATGAAGATGTGACTAAAGCATTAATTACCTTGTCAGCTTGGCTACTTCCCAAGTTGAAATGTGTTTGCACCTATTCTAAATGTGGGGATTCCCAAGGGCTTGGTTTAACAGGGGGATGTATTTTTTATTGTCCCTCTCATGAATATTGAAAATGCAATGTAACAGTTGGAACATGCCTTTGGCTCTATCCAAAGATAAGAAAATGTTTATTTATTTTAGGAAAAATCTCTCACTTTTTATAGTTTAGTTTTCCTGTTTCTAAATTTAAAAATATTCACTTCTATATAGCAACATATATATATATGTAT